CCACAAATACAAGATAAAAACTTAGCCATGTACTGTTTGGGAGAAAATTAGACCAAGAGAGTTACATTATCAGTTATATACGGAGTATATGTGTGTGGGTGTAAATTGTAATACACTCAAGTATTATAATTTGACGTCTACTTAGTGATTAGTGAATAAATTGTCATTTTTAAAATTTGAAATATAACTAAATTAATACAGAGTATCAACTTTTACTAATTTGAAATTTACATGATGTCGAATTAAACTTTTAACTCGAAATGTGTTATATGATGCACAATATATTAAGCCGAATTATTTCAATGTTTTAGATGCTCAAAGTTTTCAATGTTTTACCGCTAGTTCTGTGCCCTTTAGGGTGTAGTGTTTGGGAGTTGAGTTTTGGAGGGAAAGAGAAGGTTCATGGGGGTTTATAATCCTCCTTTTCATGTTTGAGAGTTTAAGAAATTGAAGGGAATGATTTTGGGGGAAATTTGTAACCCTCCAAAACCCTCTAAATGCTCAATTTTAAGTTCCCCAATTTGGAGTGTTTTGACGGGTAATTAATGAAATGATAATTTAACTTTAATTTAAAATGAATATCAATTAAATTATTTGAATTTGTCATATCTCAAGGTGATTTTAATTATAATCCTTCAAATACGAAAAAGAGTTTCCTCACCTTCCGCTCCCTTTCCCCTTCAACAACATACCTTCAAAGCATTCCCCTCCCCTTCATCCTAAACTCCCAAACATACCCTTAGAGTGTTTGAGAGTTGGTTTTTGGGAGGGAATGAAAGAAAGACATGTGATGGTTGACTAACTATATGATACTTTAAGCTCAATTTAAAACAAATTTTAGAGCATCTCCAATGCTATAATGTGCACGGTGCACATGTGGCATGAGTGATAGCCACATAAATATTAGCATATAAATTATCTCTCTCCTTATTTGAATGATTTTATACAATTTTGGTAAGTTTTTCCCTGCAATGTCAACAACAATGTCAACATCTAGACGGTCTCCTTGACATTGTGGAGAAAAACTTACCAAAACTGTATAAAATCATTCAAATAAGGAGAGAAAGAATTTATTCACTAATATTTATGGGGTCATTTCTTATGCCACGTGTGCACCGTGCACATTTTACCATTGGAGATGCTCTTAGTTCGATAATCAGAATTTACCATATCTATCTCAAAAGTGACTTTAATTATATTTCCTTCTAAAACTCTCTTTTCCAAATTTACTACTCTTAAATAAGAAAAAATGTTTCCACATCTTCCCCTACCTCATTTCCCATCCAACAATTTACCTTCAAGGTTTTTCCGTCCCTTTTCCCTTAAACTTCCAAATATACCCTTTTGGTAAGGGAATGTTTGTGATTGCTTTTACTTTCAAAAAATGTTTTTAAGTGATTTTGGAAAAAGTATAAGGAGTATTTTTGCTTCTACTTTCAAAAAGTGTTTTTTAGTGATTTTGGAAAATGCTTCTAAAAAGTAAAAGTTTGTACTATTTCGTAAACCAAGTATTTTTTGTTTAGTAGAAAAAGTGAATAGTACATCAAAACACCATCAACTTATTTCCGTTTTTAATTTTTAAGTGCTTAATTTATGCAAAAATTGTCACTTGAGAACACTTATTCCATTTTTTTAAAGCCAAAAATTGGAAAACACATTTTTCGCAAACTACATGCCCTCGGGGCAGTATAATATTCATTCTCATTTTATATAAGGAGTATAAAAGCTTTTTGTATCACCCCAAACAGTTCCCTTGAACATAAAAGTCCCACAAAGAACACTTGTCAACTTCACACTACATTAGATGTCATTGTACTCATATGTACTTGTATATATAACCACCCAATCACCCTCCTGTCCCTCCACTATATACTACTTCCGGTTAACCCTTTAATTTTTCATTTCTATTACTGTAATTAAGGAAGGGTATAGATCAAGTCGCTCTTAATTAAATCTCCCTCTCTTCAAGATCTCTAATTAAATAAACAGCCGATCAGGGGGTCGCCGGATATGGATCAAAGTGGTTTTCAAAATTCTTTTGTTAGGGAATTTATCCGGCCAGCCGGCGTCTCATCCGGCCGGGATGCAAATTCATCTGGGAGCGGGAAAGTACCCGGTGGGCCCAATGCCATAAAAAGTGAGTCATCTCCGGCGCCGTCCGAGGTGGCTCCGGCACCGTCACTTGGTAAGAGGAGGGCGGCATCTCCTCCTGTGACTGAAGTTAAAGAAGGCCGCCGTGAGGTGGCGGCGGATCATGATGGGCATACTTGGACCGAAAGAGAGAGGAGGAAAAGGATGAGGAACATGTTTACTCATCTTCATGCCTTACTTCCTCAACTTCCTCTTAAGGTGATTAGAGTCAATGGAAATCTATGCTAAAATCTAATTAATTTGCTTGTTGAAATAATCTATTTTAGATACACTCGATTTCCTCATTCTAAGATTTGCTCTGTAAAGATCCGGAATTCTATTCTAAAAGATCAACCTCAAGAGTGACATGTTAGTGGAAAAACACGCTAATGTAAAACAAAATGTGAAAAAAGAATTAGGACCATCAAGAATAGAAAATGGGTCAACTCGGTAGTAATTGAGTCATTCGATCTATATATGGTTCGTTTAAGGAGAATCTTGATAATCATTGCCATTTCCAGTATTTGTTACCCTTACAAGTTAATTACAAGATCTTATGATGAGAATATATTATGTGCCGTTTTTTTTTTGTTTTATTACACTTTTCTCATTTGATCTTGTCCGGCCTTTGATGTTTGATAAATGTTTAGTTTGATTAAGTCTAATGTAGTACGGAGGATGTTCTTATATGAGACTCAAACGAATTCAACTGAAAAATCCTTACTTCACCAATAGCTGTCTTTGGCGTCTTATAACAATAATGTATGTCTGTGCTTATAATAGAATTATCACAAGACATTTTTCAACTAAAATAATGCTACTAGATATTAATGAAAATACGTATTCACAAAATACGTATTAATGAAAGATATGTATTCACGAAATAAAGTAATGATTATTAGAACTTGTATAACAATAAATGATCACTTTATTAAAACAATTCAATAGAATAATAAAATTAGGTACTCAAAACTAATTTATTTTCTAGAAATAATCACATAAATATGATCAAAATAAAGATGATTTACAAAAATATGACTACTTACTAGAGTAGTAATGAAATCATAGTAATTCATGTTCAAGTGTTGAACTTAAGTTACCACAACAATATGTTATAGTAATGAATAGTCATATTTATGTAAATAAGTTTTATTTTAGTAATATTCATGTAAAAAAACCCTATTTTCTATCATGTCAAAATATCATAGAAGAAAACATATTAACCCTCATTAGATAGTTGGTAAACATTGAACTTGACTATGAGATCACTGAATTCTTTAAAAAAAATTATCATCAATATGAAAATATGAAATACTCCGTCAGTCCCAAATTGATATGCAAAGTCAATTTTTTGTCAATCAATGTTAAAATTGAAATTCTCTATTGATAATTGAATTACATTTTTAAAAACTAAGATTTACATATTCAGAAAATACATTAAGATATCTTCAAAGTTGCAAAATCCAAATTAAAATATAATTAAAAATTGACATCTGAATAAAGTGAATAAAATGAAATTGTTTCACCAAGAAAAGTTAAAATTAATTTTGTAAATCAATTTCTCTTAAATTTCTATCATTTATCTACCTCGGCCATATATCTACCGGTCTCATAATGAAAGGCAAATCAGAAAACCTCACTTTCTCTTAATTATTAATTTAAAGAGGATATAATTCTTAGATTCAATTAATGACGAGGGCAGGGTAAAACCCCAATCCAGTCAGATTCGTCTCATGATTATCCAATCAAATGCAGTATTTTTTGACCCATTAACAATTCAATATTTCTATTTCACATTTGTACATAAAAGTATACACATTTGATACAATCTCTCATGTGTACCAGATAATTGTCACTTTATTCTGAACGAGATGCTTGTGTACAGAAGGTAGTGTGCCAAATGTGCAGACATTGTTTGTACCAATAAAATTTTTCTTTCTATTTTTCCACTCATTAGCATTAAAGATGTTTTTGTTTGAAATCATATCATTTCAATCATGATTATCCAATCAAAGATTGTTTGGAATTGATTTTGTTTCTACTTTTTTAAAAACAAAAGTTGAATCATAATTAGTTTTTAAGAATTTGGTCTCATCAACTTCTAAAAACTGCTTCTATGAGCAATTTTGAGATTCTGACGTATTTCAGAATTTTCACCCAAACACTCCAATATCTGCTTCTAATACGTGAATGAGCAAAAGCAATTTGAAGAAGCAGATCTAAACACCCTACACATGCACAACGATTTAGTATTCAATTTGTGCAAAGATAGACACTAACTAGAAGCTTACTTTTTTACTTAACACTTTTTTTATTAAAAAAATTGAATTTTTGTAAGGTGGTCTTGTATGATATGATATTAATTGGTACGGTTTGATTTAATATGAATTGTGATTTAATATGAATTTGTCTGATTTGATTTAGTTAGTGCATGTTCAATTTGTATTTTATGGTGGTTGATATCTACTCTTAATTTATCTGATCTATTTATGTTTGTTGGGGTGGTCGAAAGTTATAAACCATTATTCCAATTAAAATTATTTTTAGTGTTTAAATTTGACTTGATTGGATGTTAAAATGAATATGTGTGTGTATGCATGCAGGTAGACAAGGCGACTATAGTGGAGGAAGCTGCGAAGCAGATCATCGCACTTCAAACAGCCATTCAGCACCTCGAGAAACTAAAGCAGGAACGGCAGCTGCAGCTTCTATCATCTGCCGCCAGACCCAACGACGGCGATCTTTCCTGCATATTCTCCCCCAAAATCCCGCAAGCTCCGGCGGGCCGTGCTCACACGAGGGAGGAGTTCTTGGCCGACCACGGCCGCGGCTTCATTCCCGCCCCGGGATCGAATCATAATCATAATCATAATCATAATCATAGTGACCAGAACATCATCACCGTCCACCCTTATTTGGCGACAGCTAATAATATGGATGATGTGGGAAGAAGAGGAGGTGTTAATTATGAAGGGTGCTGGAGCTCAGCGAAGGTGTCAGTGAGCGTATGCGGGGACGACGCACACATCAGCGTTTGCTGTGAGGGGAAGATAGGGCTGCTGTCGGCGATTTGCTATGTGATGGAAAGGTACAAAATAGAGGTGATGTCTGCTCACGTTTCGTCTCCTCATCGTCTTCGTAGCATGCTCATGATTCATGCCCGCGTAAGCCATTTATCTATCTGTCTATACATATTCGCCGCCCTACTCTTCAATTCTTTATCATTTCACATATATACTCTAGAGAAAATTATGTTTTTGCATTCATTAATCATATGTTTAATTCGAAGAAATTGTTTAATTAAATTATACTACGTGTATCTAGCCCATCGTGTTTATTAAAATAAATACATATATCTTCCTTTTAATAAACATGATGGGCCCGGGCTCGCACGCAATGTGCTAACCGCGAGCCCAAGGTTTTAAATTGTGGTGGCGTTCTGGTTGCGGTAGCGGTCATTGCGATTGCGGCTAATGCGACCACTGCGATGGATGTTGCGGCGTAAAATATTTTCATGTTTGCACAGAATAAGAATGTAGAATATCACAATTTTTTTGTATTCTTTAACAAATCTTCTATTAATTATACTATGTGTTTAACAGAAATTGGGTTATTTGAATTAATGGATTATAAAATTAATAAAAAAATCGCAAAATAAAATTAATAATTACAAATTTCTCCAGTCATTATGCCAACTAGCAGATGAACTAACAAACTTAAAAAATCAAACCAAAACGAATAATCTCCATTCTCCAATAGTCCAACTTAAGTCAAACACCAAACAATAAAACAATTGTTAAAGTCACACAGCATAATAGTTTGAATCAATAAAATGTTATATTAAGATATGAGTTACTTTTTATATCAAGTTAACTTTTTAAGATGGAACCTCATATCTTAACACGGTCAAAACCAAATTGATCCATGGTGTGGGTCCCCTTATGAAAAATGATGACACGATCATAAAGAAAATGACAATGACGACGAAAAAAATGAATAAATGCACCATCCAGACGAAGTGACTGATCGTGAGGAGGGGTGTTAAAGTCCCACACCAAAAAAGTTTCAATCAATAAATGTTATATTAAGATCTAAGTTATTCCTCCTATCAGGTTGACCTTTTAGGATGGAACCTCGAATCTAATTAACAACAATTAAATAAAAAAATTGACTAATTAAATAAGTAAGGCTTAGCTTAGACGAGGTGGAATTTTGGAAGCGTGCAACACAGCAGCCATGCAGACCAGAGAATGAGAGAACTCTAGTCATCTGCGGGTTGTTGCGGTCGGTTGCGGCCGGATGCGGGGTGATGTGGTGTCGTTGTGGTTACGTTGCAGTTTCGTCGCAGTTCCATTGCGGGTTTTGGCCGTGAATCGAAAGCACAACAATGTTGCGGGCTGATGCGGTTGCAGTGCCCCAGGCGACCGCAACATTGCGGCCGCAACATGTGTTGCAGTCGGCAATTTGAAACCTTGCGCGATCTAATCTCCCCCAAAACCGATAAATAAGAAAAACGCAAAATGATTTTCCATTTTCGGGGGCATCCATAAACAAACGTCGAAACATGAAGCCTGGCAACAAAATTTTTCTGAAATTCCAAAACAGCCCCTTGGATTGTATTATATCTTATATTTTGGGATGAAAGAGTATTATACAAAGTATATATCATGACTTCACACGGGGTATAAAAAAGAGGAATTGATCCAAGTAGTTCTAGAATATAGTAAATGTGCAATAGAGCTTTTTTAAATAGGCTAAAGGGTTAAATAGGTTCTCGAACTAACTTAAAAAGTGCAATTCACCCCTTATATATGATCTTATATAGGAAGCTATGTCCCACCGTCGTTAATTGGAGCGGTTTCTGGTGGAATTGTTTTATGAAATTTTTTGAGCATCTTCTTCATTAACTCTAGTTTACTCATACCAAATTTTAGATAAAAATTCAATCGAGAATGCAGTTGACAAGCACTATGTGAAGTACAGTTCGTATCCACAAGGAAAGGAATAATTCTCTTTTTAGTAAAAGTAGTAAATAAGGGGGGTTTTGGGATTGAGTGATTTAATTAAATTTAAACACGAAGATGAACGAGTTATATGTGATTTAATTCAAAGATAAAAAGGACTTGGCATTGCTACTTTCCACTTGTTGATATATTTTAGTCGATCATTGTTATATCTATAACTTATCTCCTCTCGAATATTAAATCGAGAAGTATATCCAATTCATCGAGGTTAGTTATTAACAACGACCGTTCATTAATAACCCTTACTATTAGTCAAGTATAGAACAATGTCATATACCGACTTGATAGTAGCATTTAATCTCTTAACTCCTTGATGAAATCAATTGAGATTGATAACCTCAACACAATGGTTTCAGTTTAACCAACAAAATTAATCTCTCTTAAGTTTATTAACCACGACCGTGCATTAACAAACCGAAGTTACTTACTTGTGAAACTATCAACGATTAACCATCGGTTCGTTGATCGTTTCTAGTAATAATTAATATATGAAACAAAACTAGTTGATGCTTTAAGTAATGTTCAAAATATTAATATGAAATATGAATAGGAATTAATTAATTAATACTCAAGGAAGAATTATTAAAGAAAATGAATCCTACTATAGTTAATATCAAGATGTTAACTAATTGTCATCTTAGTAACACTCCCCAATATTAACATAGAGGAAGGAATAGCTATTACTAAGACCAATGTCAAAATGTTAACTAATTGTCATCTTAGTAACACTCCCCAACATTGATATAGAAATAGTATTTAAAGGAAGAATTAATATTCAAGGAAAGAAGTTAAGAAAATAACTCACAACTTTAATAATCAACAAGCTTCAAGAGCAATACCAAGAAATGGAAGTTTAGCTCCTCATTTGGAGACTAAACATGCTAGAAAAATATAAAGAAATGCTATTCTAAACTGAGTTTAAGAGTATAAAGGAATTGGTGTCTAATTGTGAAGGGAAGGGGGTGTATTTGTAGGCTTTCTGAGAGTGCAGTTCGGGTACCCGATCGAGTATATATAGGGTACCCGATCGGGTATGTGTAAAAAGTGTAGTTTTGAGGCATACTCGATCGATTTCAGAGTGCAAATGTAAGGTATACCCGATCGGGTGTGTCGGTGTACCCGATCGGGTATTACAATTGATCGTGGCCAAATCTTCGCCTGCACACCCTTTTGTCTCCTGATTGATCTGATTGAAAGTCCAGTTGGTACCCGATCGAGTATATGGTATACTCGACCGGGTAGAGGTAAAAAATTAGGATTTTGCCTCCTTTTTGTCTTGTACTCTTGCACCTTCCTTCACCAATGATCATTTGATTGATCTTAGACCTGTTTAAGCTCAGAATGATCCTAATCTAAATGAATTACAACTAAATTACAAACATAACTATTACACCAAAAGTGTGTAATTTCCGAAATATTAAACAACCAAAACTAACTAAAAACGTAAACATACACACGGAAATTACACGCGTATCAGCAGTCAAATGAATTTTTGAAGATAATTGCCCAGTTAAATAGCGCAACACATTTCAGAAAATCATTTGACTGTCTTCCCGGTTGAATTTTTATCTAAAATTTGGTATGGGTGAACTAGACTTGACGAAGAAGATGCTCAAAAAATTTCATCAAAAAATTTCATAAGGAATCGCCCTAATTGGCGACTGGGAATCACACTCTTTAGCCTTTTTAAATATGGAGGGAGTATCTTTTTTTGGACAATATGGAGGGAGTATCTTATTCAGTACTTTGTCATTTTTTATTTTAGTCCTATATATATTTGACATTTTTATTCAATATCTTTACTTAAGTAGTACTACGTATATTCGTGACTACTTCTATGGAATTAATGTCGTTTGATTGTAATAGGTGACAAGTGGATATGCAACTCAGTTTCCAGTGGAAGAAATATACAGGCAAGCCGCCGAAGAAATTCTTCTGCTCTGCGGATAACTATTACCAGGCGCGCGCGGCCCTCAGTCTATCTCTCTTCATACATTGCTCCGTGTTATTTTCTTCTTCGCATGACATATTTGGACCATTTTGAGTATATACTGTAGTCTTGTTTATTTTTATTTTTGTGCTAAGTTAAAATCATTTCATTCAAAAAAAACAAAAGTTAAAATGATTTGTGCTTCGGTTCGGCTTAGGAGTAGTTCAGTTCGGTTCGGTTTCAAATCTGGATTACAAAAGTGAAAATGATTTTGTTCAATTTAGTTCGGTTTGATTCGGTATTTCATAAATATTGGTTTATAAGTTCTATACTTCCAAGTTCTATTTTTTAGAAATAGAAAACAAAAGTAGTTCACCACACCTCCTTGTATTTACTATTTAAGTAAAATTTGAAAGAAAATAAAAGATAGAAAGGAAATAATAAAATATTATATATTAACACCTTATTTGTTTTACTAAGATTGATGACATGAAAACATTTAAAATCTACCAACCGCTGGAAACAGATTCTTCTCTCATAAAAATTGAATTTATTATTGATTCACATTATTTATAATATCACATAGAATATTCATACAAAATTAAATGAGTCGCCAAAAGAATCGAGTAAAATCCACTTTTTATTCAAATAAATCATGTTTAATATATACTTTAATGTACATTGTACTCTAGTAAAAGTGAAATTGATCGATATAAATGGAACGTGTTGATGTCATCACCAAACAATTTTGTTATAATAAAATTATGATATATGTAAAAGTTAAAATGATGTATGCTAAACATGCATTTTTCATATTTGAGTTATTTATTTTTATCCTAAAGATGAAAAGTGAAGACAAATATAAAATATTTTTAATAAATATTACAAATTGTTTAGTTCAATTTATTGTTTTTTGGTTTAAAACCAAACGATTCGATTCAGAAAATTATAACCAAACGGTTTACTTCAGTGAGCTAGCTCAAACCAAACCAAACTACCAATTTTTCGTTCGATTCGGTTGGACCAAACCATTTAGCCCACCCCTACTTGAAATGTGCCCATAGATACTTTTTATGTCATTAATATTAGAGACCGTTTGGTTATCCATTTTTTTACCTTATCGGTCTAATCAGTCAATTTTTTCTCAAGCATATTACTTTTGGTTTTGCGTAGTGAATTGTATAATAATCAAAATGTAGAAGGTTAAAGTTGTTTTTCTGTTTGAATTGACTGAAGTTACTGTATAAGACTTTTTAACTATTGTCACATGACTTTTTCTTGACTTTTTAATAAAATATACGAAGTATTTTAAATAATTTTTTTTCATAATTCAGTATATCCAGCCGCTTCATCACCTAGAATTTCATCAATTATAGCTAATTCATCTAATCTAACCAATTTCGAAATTATCAAATGGGCTCTTAAATTTATTATGAGTGGTCAAGTATCATAACACTCTTTAAAAATAAGTATCCTAACACGTCTAGAATAGAGAGGCGTCAAAGTGTTGTTAGCTAGGCACACTTTGAATGATAAGATGAAAATTGAAAATTTCTAAAACGATGGATCAAAATCAATAAAAAGGGAAGATAATTGAAAATAATTCGTCTAGGAAGACAAAAAATAGAGAATGAAAATCGAAAGAGAAAAGAGACGCCGCTGCAAACTGAAGAGAGCGAGAGAGATGAATTGAAACATTTAGGGGAGTATGACGAGAAATGAGAATCATAAGACAAGATAGGGTAAGATAGAGCTGCGATTAATTTAAGAAATTTAATAGAGTTAAAAAGGTAGTGTGCAGTTCTATTTACTAAATACAAAACATGTATTTGAATTTTTCAATATTTGACATTTAGTAATGAAATTAAACAAACTCAAGCATCGAGAACAATTTTTTGGAAAATGAAGAGGGAGACTGACTATAATACATACATTTGGACTATACGTAGGTGTTCAACAAGTTAACACTCTTTATATAAATACTAGTTTTTGTGTCGCGCGTTGTACGAGTATATATAGTATATACATTTCTACAAAATCAAAAGATACATCGGAATTTGCATCTCACATAGTTCTCGTAAACTTCGAGTTCGCTTTTTTGTTTTTAATTTATAGGCATATGAAGAGAGTGTTTGCGATTGTTTCTACTTTAGAAAAGTGATTTTTTAAAGTGATTTTGGAAAAAAGTGTTTAATAGTAAAAGTTGGTAGTGTTTGAGAAAAAAGTGATTCTGATAAAAAAAATAAAAGTTGATAGTGTTTGATAAAATAAGTGTTTTTGTGTAATAGGAAAAGTGAAAAACAGTTTAAAGTACCTTCAACCTGCTTCTAGCTTTTAGTTTTAAGTGATTAAGTTAAGCAGAAGTTGTCCTTTGAAAACACCAATTTAAGCTTTTTTAAAGTCAAAAGTTGAGAAGCGCTTTTTTAATTCTTTTGCAAACACTTCTGAAGTCTCGCATTAGGAGGGAGCACATTCTAAAGCCAGCCAAATGTGATATTGTTTCAGAATAATGAAAAGAGGGAGTATATTTAAAATTGTTGATCTTCTATCCCTTATGAGTTCCATATGACTTGATCTGCACGACAATGACAAATAATAGTATGGAGAAGCTTGGAAATCCATTTCCTTTACTGAGCTATGAAATACACAATCCAATGTTTATGGAAAATGAGCTAGCAAAGCATGTTGGAAATAGCTAGATGCCTATTTGAATTCCACGGTACAAGAGGTGAAGACATCTTCATTGAGGACGAGGACGCAAGGTAGATGAATGGAGATTAGACGACAACTTGTTAACGGGAGTAAAACGGTAACTTTAGGAGTTTATGCTTTAGAGTAGCATTCACACATACAAAATAAATAGAATAGTGTGCAACAGCAGATAGCTACATGTTACACAAACACATTTTTTATACTCATAATACCCTAACCTTGATTGGCTATCACTCCCTATAAGATTGTAGATATGTTGCTCTTTTTAAGGGTTACATAATGTGGATGTGAACAAGAGTATGTACATAAAGGTGATCTTAGAACCCTATGATCAATGATTAGAATCAAACATTTGATATAATTAATTATAATAATTGGCTGGGGAACGATCTTTAATTTGTTAAACTGCTACCATAATTAAACAATACAACAAACACACAACCATTAGCCATCTTAATTGAAGCGCGCAACAATTATCCCCGCCACTCGTATCACTTGCTTTTCTTGTTACTTTTGTTGTTGGAGGAGGAATACTCGCTGCTTGAGCTGGCATCTCACACACTCCAAAAGTCATATTTTGCTGCATACACACAACTTAAATAGTTAAAATAGTTTAACACATTGATTAACTATTGGGTTACAACATTATTATTAGGCTTAAAGAAAAGCTCAGCTCATGTAGTATTAAAAATGGAAACAAATAGGAGTAGTATTATCCTCATTTTATTATAGAAATTGAACTAAGTAAAAAAAATGAATAAGAGTTTGTTTGATAATGCCTATATTGGCATTATCTAGTGAAATTTATGATTAGTTAAATGGTTCAAACTGCTTAATTCTAGAAAGTTTTATATTTAAAATTAAACAATCACCTTTAAAGAAACCAGCAAACCAACAAGAACAGTTACTCTAGTAGTCCAGTCGTACTAACTTTATATTACTACGTACTCCGTATTTCCTTTCAAAAAAAATATTACTACGTATATAAACTTTGGCACGTGGAATAAAAAAATTTGTATTTTATTTTAAACTGATTGATAAAACAAATAAACAACAAAACCGATCTTATGATATTAAAGAAAGACAATGAATAGAACTCACCTTTGCTCCGATAAGTTTTATGTCAATTTCAAATTTAGTTCACGTGTTTTACTTTGTTCACTTTTGATGCTTGACTAATGTTTTTTTGACTATTTGGGATTTTTCCGATGATTTTTACCATCAAAAACATTGATGGAAGGATCATATATTGGCAAAAACACAATAGTCATGTATCAAGAGTGATCAAATTTAAAGACGTGTACTAATTATGAAATTGGTGCAATACTCGTAAAATTAAAAGTGAAATTTATTCGGAAAACAACAGTAGCCTGTTTTTAAGTGTATATGGAATGTCCTTTTACCCGGCAAGAATCAACATTAGCACAACCACAGAGAAGTTGACCGTTAGCATAATCAACCGCTTCTGGAGCTCCTCCTCCATTACTCCTCTGCACAAATCAACACTCCCAAACAACATTTAATTAATTCAGTGGATGGAAAATAGATAAAACAAATCCAATCATTTAAAATAACACTACCTTGTAAAAATCAACGGCTATAAAATTTGGCCATCTTTTACCAGAAGCTTCAAAACATGTATTCATCATGTTCTTCAATGGCCCTGAGTTATGCTTACAAGCTATTGCCAAATCCGGGTTAGTTGGGAAGTAGTTCATCAGCACCATTGACCTTGACCGGGTGTTCATGGCCATCGATTCACTGCGATTTGGACATGAACCATTCTTCATCCCTCCATCCCCATCTGTTTTTTACAAACATGTTTTTATATTGGACTCATTTTAGTTTAGATATAATTAGACCAAACCACACTTAAATAGATCAAATCAGATCAGACTTCAACAATTGTAAAACACACATAATACAATTGTAAAATATTAGATGAAACCAGACTAGATAGATAGTAAAGTTGATGTATCAAACTCCACTTCATCCAAACTCGATCCATTATCACCGGTACTTTTGAAGTGAGGTACGACTGATCATACTCCGTATATCTTATACGAAAATAGCTTAAATTCATAATTAGAATGTGTTATTCGGGCTGAAACTTTCAAGTCTAATTTGATTTGATCTGATCTGAACTAATATAGTCTGATAGACGTCTGTTCTACTAGCATTTTACAATTATCGATATCTAGATTGGTCCAGTCTAATCTTTTTAAGTTTGATCAAATCTGATATGGACCGGTCCAATTAGGTGTCTTCTTGTTTGGTAAAAGTTGAGTACGGGTAAACTCACATTGGTTTTCCACCATGTACTTCCATTGGTAGGCAATTCCTTCTGAAGATTCTTTAGCTGATTTGGAAGTGAAGACTACCAAGCGCT